ATGGAAAAAGTTTTCTTACAATCCACATGAGGATGGGTGTTCTTGTCCAAAACCTCAAGTGCCTTCTCCCAAATGATGTGTCCCTTGCAAGCCTGAACCTCTCAGGATCTGCACTAACAGAATAGAAAGCTAGGTTTATTTTCTACTTTTTTGGCTTATCATGCATCGATTTTTTATATGGTATAGAATGTTGTTTTTTGAACCATTTTGTACTTTAGAACATCTATTAAAGTGGAAATAAAAAAACATCATGAATGAATCCTCATTCATTAAAGATATTTTTACATTTTTTCTAATTCCAAACCAATTTTTTTTTGCCAAAAAAAAGATTACTGTTTTTAAGTGTATATGATGAACCTTAAAAATCTCTTCTATGTACCAAATAGTGGACTTTATGATTTGTAATTTTTTTTTTTTTTATGGGAGAGTTTATAATTTGTATTGATTTGGACTAACCGTGAGAAAACTGGTACTCGACAGTTTTGGTTTCCTTTTCCCATCGCTTCCACCTCCTCATCTGAACAAAAATAGAAAACTAAAACCCATAAACAAGGGGATCAAATTAATGAATATCATGCAATGACTTTATATTATGCGTACCTTGAGTCTGCCTAATGCCATGGTGAGGATACAAGAAAGGACATGAAAAACGGCTAGCACAAAGATGAAGATATGGAGTTGATGGATGCCTTCAGATGACACAAATGGGACTTTACCCTAAATTTAATTAAATGTTAATTAACATCTAATTTGATGTATAATAGGCACAGAGACACACCAAAAAAAAAATGAAAAAAATGGTCATACTGGAGGACAACTGCTAGAAGAGGACCCCGCCGATAAGGAACGCCGAATGCTTCCACCGAAATCCGACGCCATTAGAAGTCTCCGGTGATTATTGTCGTTGTAATCTGTTTTGGAATAGTTGTTATGCTTAGCTTCTTGTTTACTGTTGCAGGGATGCCAAGTAGCCGCAGATTTCTCCGATATGCATATTTTGGATACCGTACCCTGCCCTACCGTTAAAAGCAAGGATATAAACCCTAACAACATAAGCTCTGCAAATTCAATTAAAGGAAAAAAGTTAGCGATTTATTTAATTTGTTCTAATTATAATTATAAAACAATATTAAATTAATGGAAAAAATGATATTGGTCTTTGTATATACCAGATTTTATCTTTTCAAGGGCTTCGTAAAGGGCACTTTTGTGTTTCTTCTTCAACCACTGCAAAATGAAGAAAGTCTCCATGTTTAGAGCTTTAAATTCACAACAAAAATTAATTTAAAAGCCCTTTTTTTTTATCATAACTTGATGGATAATTAATAGTGCAGCTTACCTTTCCTATAAGGTGGATTATGTGTTCGATAACTATTGAAATTAAAACCAAAACAAAGCAAACTGCTGCAACAGCCCACGTGGCCGTCTGCTCCAGAGACCTTTCGGTGGAAGCTCCGGCCATGTTTCCGACTTGCTGCCGCCTGAAACAGAACTCACGTACGTAGTTTTTGTTTTTGCAAATAAGGAGAGAGTTTTTAAATAATACGTACAGATAACTAAGGAAGGACGTGTAAGCTCTTCTTTGAGTTCTTTATATGAAGTTTTTGTGGGCCTGATTTTCTTTATTTATATATATATAAGTGGTACCATTGGAATAATTTTTTATCTCATTTTTTTATATAATTTTTATATATAATTAAATAAGTGAATGCATTCAATATTATGAATTTCACGTGAATTAAAAGAATTAATATATATATAAGTGGTACCGTTGGAATAATTTTTTATCTCATTTTTTTATATAATTTTTATATATAATTAAATAAGTGAATGCATTTAGTATTATGAATTTCACGTGAATTAAAAGAATTAATTATTTTAATAATATGTTAAATTATATAAAAAATAAAATAAAAAATTATATAAATATCATTTTCATATATATATATTTTGGGGAGAGAAGGGAGGGGGAGGGTTGGCAGAATGTAAGAATAATGGAAGGGGAAATTAAGGGGCAAGACTTTGACTTTCTGAACGCGTGAGAATGACTAACAGAGTGGAATACTGAGGCTGGCAATCAAAGCGGAGAAATTGATTATAATTTAATTACTTATTAACTTGATCAAATAATTAATAAAAAAAAATCATGTAGTTTATATTATATTATATTATATTAATTATTAAATTTTTTTAATAATAAATTTTGTTATATTTGATAATTTTTAATTGACAATTTAATATAACTCAAAGAGTAAAATAGATTCTTTATTTTTTTTTTAAATGTTGTGAATAAGATTTCAACGTCAGACTTTAAATTAACATGAAAAGATATTTACAAAAAAATTAGTAATCATTCAAAAACAAACCATTCGGTTCCCTTAATTACTAAAATTTACTAATCCTACAAATTTGTTTGATTTGATCAAGAGTAATGATGAGAGGGACGAAATTGGAGATCGACAAGTGATGGGAAGATTCATGTATGTGGTGCAATTACTAATTTGATTCCTACATCACTTGTCGTTCCTTAATTTCGTCCCCTTCATCATTACTCCTTGATCAAATAATTAATTCATTGCAGCTTTTGATGATTTAGTAATCACCGTTAATCACTCAGCTCTCTTTGAAGTCAACAATTCTTTTATAATTAACTTTTCAGAGACTCATTCCGTTTTAACGCTTGAATAATATTGTACTACTACTAGTTACTACTGTGGATTAGCTCCATTTGTGAAACAATAGTTTCATTTTGTCCCAAAAAAAAACAAAAAGCAGTAAAGCTTTTGAGATTGACTTATCAAAATATTGTTGAAAACTTATAGTAGTTTGAAATCAAAAGCGGGCAGACGGCAATGCCACAACATTAAGAGGTTTGTTTGATTTTATCTATAGTCATTAATTCACATTTCACATCATGACTTAGTTGACGTGCTCCATTCCCATTTACGGTTTTTACGCGGCAATTATATATTAAAAATGATAAATGAGATTAAAATTTAAAGTTAAAATTTAAAATTCACGATATAATATAAATTATGTTATTTTAATATTAAAAAGTAAATTTATATTATTTATTGATAAATTTTATAAAAAATTATTGTATATATTAATTAATTTAGTAATGTGACTTATATTATATCATTAATTTTAAATTTTTATTTTAATTTTTTTTCTCCTTTATAATTACTCATTATATATATTTACAATATTATATAATATATTATACATACGATATTAAGAGTAGAGCTCTTAATGAAAAAAACTAATCATGTGATAATATATTAAAATTATAAATTTATAGTTTCACTGAGTATATTATTTTTGTTTTTCACCAAAGAATGGAGAAATTTCTAGATTGAAAATTAAAATGAAGATATGATCAGGATATGTTTTGAATCTTCAAAATAAAAATTTTCCAAAAGATGGCGATTTTTCATGTGTATATGAATTATTGATTTTCCTTTCAATGAAAGAAACTCTAATTTTTCAATCTTTTTCCATTACGTGGCTAGTTAGACAGGACCTCCCCTGAATGTGTGTTTCTTGTATGTTAAAAAATCAATATATTTCATTTTCTTGCATAGACGGTATCAAGCAATGGCACGTGTGAAATGTTAATTAAGTGGGAAAAATCCCACGTTGAAAATATATAATAAATATATATATATAGATTAAATATTAAAAAAATATTTTATTTATTATCAATTAATTTAAGTTAATTATAAAATTTATATTGAAATTAACCTACACAATTTTCACATAATTAATTTTAAATTATATACAAATTTTATATTAAAATCTATGTATACAATTTTCACATCAAAAACATTATAATAAAGTTTGATCAATTCATCTTTTGAATTCATTGACTGATTCACTTCGAGCTCCTAATAGCTTTAGGCAAATTTTTTCTTTGTCCCTTAATTAGTCTATGTTAATTTGTATTGGCTCAAAGAAATCAATTTTAGTACAATAACTATAGGAATACATGCCTAGAGCCAATCTTCGACTTAAATTAATTCAAATCTCATCATTTATATGTTTCTACTAAGATCTTCAAAAAAAAAAAAAAAAAAACTTCAAGAAACTTAAATAGAAAATTTGAGTTTGTATTATAATTACAATACTACAAAATACAAATATCTCACATAAAAAACCTAAAGTTTCATAACTCTATTGACTCTGCCATCATAATTTTAACGTCATGTAGGATTCCAAGAAATATGCTTGAGATCATGCGCCGTACAATAGTTGCCATCATACCCCCAAAATCTGTGATCATATTGCATGCCGACTAGGGATGAATGGAACCCAATAGTTCATTACTTTGTTTAAGTTTATGTTCCGCATATGATCAGAAGGTCAAGGGCTGTTGAAGTATTCAAGGGATCGTACAAAAACCCAAGCTACCTCTTTCGGTCCAAGGGTACGTAGCAATACGTGCTGAAAATTGCACATCCTCTGATTTGGACAGGAAAATGAAATGAATGGAAACGTCAATGAAGGGTGGAGTTGAATCCTTATCAAGCATTATACTTTTCAAATGGTGAGAAAATTAACATTCTGCGGTCCCGCTTTGTGGAAAATTAGAACCTCCATATCAAATATATAAATCCGTTGTAGAGTTGTAGTAGTGTGAAACTTTGAAAAAATTTTAAAAAACTGCGAAAAAGGAGAAGGGGCATTCCGAGAATTGAACTCGGGACCTCTCGCACCCTAAGCGAGAATCATACCACTAGACCAAATGCCCATGTTGGAATGAGTTTTCTTTTAATTTATTATTCTATATTACAAGGAACTGCTAGAGTTGACTTCATCACCAAGGAACTGCACTACGCATAAAATGTAAAATTATGTTTTCGTTATATTTATCACGTTAATAACACATGTCTAAGCATGGGCACTGAGTACAAAGTTTCTTCTCTCGGCCAGACATATTGAACCTCCTTTCTCGTTGTTGAAGATCAGATCCGTTCAAAGGGCCTTACGCCCAATTTGAAATTTTACTTATATATGTTATATACTTGATATATAAGATTTTTAACTATTTATAAGAGAAATAAATAGTAATAAATTTGTATAATAGTTATAAGCAAATGCATTTTAACTTATATACATTATGTATTCAATATGAATTTTTTTTCTTTTATAAGCATAAATGTGATGTGGTTAACTTTAACATATCATTTAAAAATTTATTTAAATTTGAGTGCTAAACAACTATAAGAGAGATATTAACCTTATTTTATCATAACTAATTAGTGACAAACTATAGGAAAACATTTTTGAGGTTATACAAGGTAATTACTGTAAAAAATAAAACCTTTTAGTAATTTGGACTAAATATTGGTAGTAATAGGTGCTCCTTTTTTTTAATCACATATTTCTTATTAAAATCTTATTAGATTCTTAATTTAAAATCTCAAATTTTTAATAACTTGTATCATTCTTTTCTTATTGGTTAATATTCTATATATTTAACTATTTGAGAGGTGCCGGCGGAGTGATGGTGTAAAAACACGAGGTAGCCCAAAATTCAAAGGAGGGAAAAAAGAACCGTGTGAACCCACGATTCATGTGATGGAGTTCAACTGAACGGCGGAAGAAATCATAACTTAATAAGTAACCTCGTCAAACTGTCAAAGTAAGAAGATGAGACCTTCACCGCATCAACTTCCATAGACTTTAACATCCTTAATTCATTTATGGAAGGTTTTTTTTTTTTTTTTTTTATCATGAAGGAGTTGAACATTTCTCCATTTTGAAGGCTTCAACTTCCATAGGCTTTAAAAGCCTTAATTCAATTAGGGTAGTTATGCTTATGCTGATTCCTTTCGCTTTCTTCTCTTTATTAATACGTTCGTTTTCTTCATGCCGGTGCAATTCACACTGCTGAAGAGACAAATCAAAGTATAGAAATGGCTGTCACGGCGGACGGAGGAGGTGCTGCGGCTGCCGCCTCTCTCTCTCTTCAAGACACGCCCACTTGGGCTCTTGCTACTGTCTGCTTCATCTTCATCTCTGTTTCCATTTTTATTGAGCACATGATCCACCTTATCTCCCATGTAAGTAAAGTGAGCGTTTTTATTTTTTATTTTTTAAAGAGTTAGTTTGTGTTTGTTGATTTGCTTCTATGAGTATATTTACGTTTGTTTTGTCAAATGTGCTTAGTGGCTCAAGAAACATAGGCAAACTGCACTCTTTGAAGCAGTGGAGAAGCTTAAATCAGGTAGCTTTTTTGATGAGAAATCTTTGCTTCGGTTAATTTTGACGTATGGGTTCAGCCTTGAGAGCTGGGGCTGATTTGTCTTTGTTTTTTCTCATGTTTTTGTGCAGTTCTTATGGTGTTGGGTTTCATGTCTCTAATTTTGACTGTAACACAGAGAGGTATTTCCAAAATTTGTGTGCCCATTGAAGTTGCAGAGACCTTGCTTCCATGTCGTAGAACTGCTCTTAAAAATATCAAAGCAATAGGATCATTAGAGCAATTATGGGCTAACATTGGTCAAAGTTCATTTCATGAAAGAATATTGGCTGCAGATCAAGACTCTAACCACTGTCCTGAGGTTTGTTGTTTTAATTCGAGTAAATTTGATCTTGAGTTTGCTAATTTTGAGAGTATTATGACTTTGTGAGGCTGATTATATAAGTTACT